CACAAGCCCTTGAAATTTACATCTGTGTTCACTTCACTGAGAGCTCCTCCCTGGCAGGCTCCATAATATTCCCCGTTTTGAAGTGCATAAGGGATCTCATTCATAAAAAAGAGAGCAGAACAGCAGATGCATTGTGGGCCGACGGTTGTTCTTTCCATTTGCCATTAGCTCCCTTTTTCTGAAAGCCTAACCTTGGTGTGTAGGCTGGAGAGATGAACAGAGACAGAATAAGTTTGGAAGGGTTAGGCTAAATCTTGGCCAATGAAAATCACATGCTGTACTGCTTATGAATATTTAAATGTGTTTAACGGTATTCAAAAGCTGTTTTTTTCTTCTTCTTTTTTAGATCACTATATTTGCTGAAATATGGCAAAATACATTTTTAGTACTCTTGCTTTCTTTGTGCAAAAATAGGTTCACCATGGGAAGACAGGCTGATTTTTTAGGAACTTTCAATCTTCAAAAGTCCTTTTCTTAATATCTTAGAAATACTTGCTTGAAGAAGCAAAGAACGAGCAAGGTCTTTTAAGGCAAAGAAGTTTTCACAAACTTTTCTTACATAAACATCCTGTGCCGCCTTTCACAAAATGACTGCATTTATACGATCAAAAGCAGCCCTGGCTTTAAAAGTTTGCATATCCTCAGATTATTCATAGGCTTTGAAGCCACTGATATCAAACAGGATCATTTTCCTAACTGTCTGATTTAGTCAATTAGCTGCACTGAAGTACAGCAGGTTCTTGTGAAAAATAGTCGAATGCAGAAGTTAGATCAGATGACTACACTGTTTCAGCATTATAGGCCATTGTGGTTTCTTCTTACGGTTTAAAGAGCTATCTTGGGAAACACTTTTCGCATTATAAGCATTTTCAAAGCATTATAATACAAACTATTATCCATGTTTTTTTCGGAAATAATTGAAAACACCTTTAAAGAGTAAAATGAATTATAAAACATAATAAAACCCATACAAATATGTTGTTGATCATGTGTTTAACCTTTAAATGTGAAAATGTCTAGGATGGATGGATGGATGGAACAATAAACGATAGAGTGATAAAAGATAGATAGATAGATAGATAGATAGATAGATAGATAGATAGATAGATAGATAGATAGATAGATAGATAGATAGATAGATAGATAGATAGATAGATAGATAGATAGATAGATAGATAGATAGATGGATAGATGGATAGATGGATAGATGGATAGATGGATAGATGGATAGATAGATAGATGGATGGATGGATGGATGGATGGATGGATGGATGGATGGAAGGAACAATAAACGATAGAGTGACAGACAGACAGACAGACAGACAGACAGACAGACAGACAGACAGACAGACAGACAGATAGATAGATAGATAGATAGATAGATAGATAGATAGATAGATAGATAGATAGATAGATAGATAGATAGATAGATAGATAGATAGATAGATAGATAGATAGATAGATAGATAGATAGATAGATAGATAGAACAATCAACGATAGAGTGATAAAAGACAGACAGACAAGAGTGATAAAAGACAGACAGACAGACAGACAAATAGATAGATAGATAGATAGATAGATAGATAGATAGATAGATAGATAGATAGATAGATAGATAGATAGATAGATAGATAGATAGATAGATAGATAGATAGATAGATAGATAGAACAATAAACAATAGAGGGATAAAAGACAGACAGACAGAGATGGATGGATGGATGGATGGATGGATGGATGGATGGATGGATGGATGGATAAATAAACGATAGAGTGATAAAAGACAGACAGACAGAGATGGATGGATGGATGGATGGATAGATAAAAACTGGTTGCAGAAATGTAAAAAAAAGCCCTGCTTGGTTAAACAGCAAACAATAGTCTGTTTGTCATTAGACGAGTGCAGAATACACAGCAGATCTTCTTCTCTCTGCCTCGGCATGAAGACAGTCAAACCCTGATATGAATCTTCTGTCTGGTGTGGTGTCAGTGGTTTTCCCTGAAGCACTGCAAGCCGTTGCCATAGAGACCTCCGAGACCAGCGCACATACGTGGAACTATTTTGACTAGTTCTCTGCGCATATGGAATAGTTCACGGCAATGATTAAACAATATGCAAAGAAAAGACAAACGCTGCTCTTTCATGGTTGAATGTCTAGTTATCGTGTCAACAACAGCCTGTCATAACAGTCACTGACTCATGTCTGCCTTTCCATTTACTCTTCAGATACTCAGCAGAGGCTCTGAGGGGGAAAGCAGATCAAAAGCAGGAGTATATCCTGAGTTTACATGTTACCAGGTCATCAGAGGTCTTATGAATCAGATTTGCACATAGTCCACCTCTAGCCACATGGGTTTGATTTATATTGTGGTGATTCGCATTAATGCACGCACTTTGTCGTGGCAAAGCATGTCTGAGCTCACATGGCCTCTTATTGCTTTCTCGTTCATACACAGACACACACTTCACGCTCAAAAAAAGCTCTAGTCCAGACACAGTGAGGGATTAACCCATAGACATTCAATCACTAATTTGACAAAAATATTTGTACACTTGACCCACAAACCACAAACTTTGAATGGCGTATTATATACAATGAATTACAGTATCGTACAAATAGATTACAGACAAACAAGTCCATTCACACAAAACACTATTCATGGAAATGGTTCTAAAATATATTACAGAGGGATTTATTTATTGTAATATTTATGATGTAATATTAGACAAATAAATATCATAATGCAAATATTATAATAATGAAGGAAATATGATTAGAATAATAATTAGAATAGTAATAAATAATTGATTGATTTATTACATTTACTACATAATATTATAAAGTTATACATTAAATATTGTTATAAAATAAAAGTTTACTTAATGAAAGTATAAACTAAATATGATAAATGTAAAAGTAAATATTGTGATAAACCTATTCTTAAAACTTTATACTAACAGTAAAGTGTTATTAATACTAAATTGTATTAAAGTAAATATTACAATGCAAATATTACAATTATAAAGCAGATATGATGATTGTAACAAAGGTTATATAAGATAAGATAAATAATAATTATATATTTATTTAGTAAAACATAAAGTAAACATTTTGTAATATTTTATTTTCTAAAAATATTTACTATAAGTAAACAATTATGTATAAATTATGATAAATGTAATTCTAAATATTGTGATAGATCTTTATACTACAGCAAAATATTAATAATACCAAAGTATATTAAAGTAAATAGTATGATGCACATAATTATAAAGTATATGATTAACTATAAGACCATAATAATGAATAATTAAGTTATAGTTATTATATTTGCTTCATAATATTATAACATTACACGTAATAATATTATTAGAACATTATAGTAAATATTATACAAATATTATGATAAATAAAATCACTTTGTTATACCATATTATTTATTTACTTAATGCAATATTTGTACGAAAACATGGGCAAAAAATGTCATTGCAAGGTTTATTTTCAACAGAACTTCTCAAAGTAGAACACGCTTTAGTATTTTGATAAAAGACTTTCCCATATTTTCCCACATAATTACTTTCCCATAATTTCCCATATTTGTTCTTACTAGATCAAGAAAATATGATCATATAACACCGATTCTATCATCACTTTATTGGTTACCTATAAAGTTCCGTATTAATTACAAGGTCTTGCTTTTGACTTATAAAGCTCTGAATGGTTTAGCTCCAGTCTATTTAACGGATCTTCTATCGCCCTATAATCCATCGCGCTCTTTAAGATCACTAAATTCGAGGCTTCTGGTCATTCCTAGGATATCCAGATCCACCAAAGGAGGGAGAGCATTTTCACATTTAGCTCTTGTTCGTTGCTCAGACTCGTTCTGCCAGTTTAAAACTAGACTAAAGACGCATCTATTTAGCCAGGCATTCATATACATTTTTTATCTTACAGTTACTGTAAATTCGGCCTCTACTTCATAAACGCCAGAGGAGAACTGGCCCCGACTGAGCCTGGGTTCTCCCAAGGTTTTTTTTTTCTCCATTGGGTCATCTGATGGAGTTTTAGGACACCATCGGGTCACTTGATGGAGTTTTTCGGTTCCTTGCCACTGTTGCCTTTGGCTTGCTCAGTTGGGGATATTCAAATTGACCCATCATACCACTGATCAGCTCTACCAAACTTGGATGTCTTTTCCAGTAATAAACAAACACTGTTAAGTTGTTTTGATTGATACTGTAAAGCAGCTTTGATACAATGTGTATTGTGAAAAGCGCTATATAAATATATTTGACTTGACTTGACTTGTAAATATTTGCCAGTGGATTCTAGAAGAGCTTCACAGCATCGATCCTTTCTTACGTATTTTAACAACCTCAAACGTGCTCGTCTGAAGAACTTCAAAGACTCTGGATTCCTTTAAAAGGCGTATTCAGTGTCCTTTGTCAACCAAACCCTGAATGAAGACGCTGCCTACTCTTGAAATCCAATATCTGACTGCTGACGAAACCTACGACAAGCTCCACCAGAGCATTAAACATGAAAATTAAAGCAGAACATGAAACTTCAAAGATAGAGAGGAGACGAACCTTAAAATGCAGACGTGAAGGCATAAATCTTTAATATTCCTGTGGGCCTGTCTTCCTCTCTGTGGAGGCGCGAGACGGGACGGTTTTAAGGGAGATTTATGGAACCTTCTCAAATTCCCGCCTGATTCCATAGCAAATACTTTTGTCCACCTACTCGAGACCAGCTGCATGACCTCGAGGATAAAAATCTCCATTGTTGGACGAGGAACCGTGACAAGTCATCATTCAGGAGAGGTTGATGAGAGGTAAAAAGCAGGTCACTCTTTCCTCACCTCTCTTGTTTGGGCCTTGGCATGAGATTTGAACTTGGAGGATTGTCGTGATATTTGCGTGTGAATGAACTGGCTAAAATGTGTGGAGTGTAAACAATGCACATCTGCGTGTAAAGACTTGAAAAAGTATTTCCTCACCAAAGCCTTGGTCTCGTCCTCGTCCTTGTAGTAGTGCAGCTGGTCTCCTCGGAGGACGAACCAACGCGTGTGCCAGGTCTTCACGAAACCTCCTTGCTTCCGGAGCCAACCGCGTCGCAGGACGTCCTGCCTGGCCGACCCACGCCCGTGTTGAGGGCTGTTGCCCGCGCTGCCAGCCTGCTCTTCCATCGCCAATCCGGAAAACCTCCCTGTACCCGAGACAGAAGTCGAGACGGTAATGTTTATGATACAAATGAAAGCGGGATAACCTCTCAAGGTTAGGAGGAAGGGCGGTATCGTTGCCCTGCTATGACATCATACTGCTCACTCCATCCATGCGGCATTTGCATTTGTCAAGATAAGCAAATTCTCAGAAAACATTCGTTTGGCTTCTAAGGTAGTGCTCATTTATTGCGGCCAACAAACATTTGTTCAGATATAAGGGATATCAAAATGTCAGATATAAAAATGAAATGGTCTCTACATCATAATAGTTTAAAGTTACATGTCTGTCTAAATATATATATATATATATATATATATATCTTACAATACAATAAAGTATTATTTAAAACTAAAGCAAATAAATATTATAATTATAAAAAATAAAGAAAATATTATACTAATAAAAATAACTCATTGAAATGTATTTATTATATTTACTTAATATAATCTTTACTTTAGGATTTATGCATTTGGCAGACGGTTTTATCCAAAGCAACTTACAACATTATACATAGTAAATATTATTAAAAAGTAAAGTGAATTTTATATTATGCTCAACACAGCTGCATTTATTTAATTTAAAAAAATACAGTAAAACAGTTCATTTGTGGAATATTATTCAAATTTTACTTTTACAACTTTCTATTTTAATATATTTTCAAATGTAACCTAATCCTGCGATGATAATTACCGTGATAGATTGTTTTCAGAATTCTTTGATGAATAGAAAGTTCAACATAAGAGCATTTATTTAAAACAGAAATCTTTTGTAACATAATAAATGTCATTACTCTCACCTAACCAATTTTATGCATCCTTGCAGAATAAAAGCAAAATAATAATAAAAAAATCTTACTGTCTCCAAACTTTTGAATGTTAGTCAATGTGTGTGACAAACATATATATATTATATATATATATATATATATATATATATATTAGGGCTGTCAAACGATTAATCACATCCAAAATAAAAGTTTGTGTATACATAATATATGTGTGTGTACTGTGTATAATTATTATTTTGTATATAAATGCACACATGTATATATTTAAGAAAGATATGTTATTTATATATAAAATGTTTATATTTATATAAAATATACATTATATATAGGCTACATTCAGTCTATATACATTATATACATGCAAATATTTCTTAAACACACATGCATGTGTGGGTATTTATGTATTAAAAACAATTGTACACAGTACACATACATATATTATGTAAACACAAACTTTTATTTTGGATGCGATTAATCGTTTGACAGCCCTAATATATATATATATATTTTTTTTTTTCACAATGTTAAAAATGTAAAAAAAAAATAATAATAATTATGTCACAGTCTGACCTCTGACCCCACTGTCTTTATGTTATGACCTACCAACATTAACTTTCACAATGACCACAAGATCTTTGCAAGTCTTTATGAGCTCAGGTAGCGATGAATAAAATCAAAAGCTCAGCAAATCTGTGGTCACCAGAGAGGAAGTGACCTCCAGTGCATTTTAACTGATCTCCTCCACCACTCACTTCCCTAGCTCTCCCTTTCCATTCTCTCTCTCCTTGCCAAAAGAACACTCAGATGTTGGAATACGACTGTGTGTTTTCATGAGTCTACGAGATCACCAGACCTTCCACAACAACATTCTGCTCAAGAGATTAAAATCGGTGCCACACACACACACAGAGCCATTAAAAATTCAACATCTAAACAGTTGCTGCTTTTGCTGGGAACTGGAGTTATAAATGTGTATCTGTGCACCACAAGTGCTTCAGCAAAGAGAGACAAGACTGGGAATCACATATCTGCAAAACGGGGCAGTCGGCCAAACACCTGACGTTCATTTAAGTGACTGTTTGACAGCCAGACATGAAGGCAAGAAATCATAAAAGGGTGTTTTATCTGATTGTTTATGATTTTAGATGTAATCTTTCAGAGAAGGAGGGCTGGAAGGTTCTGCCAAGCTAGAATCTTCATGCTAGTGCCCATCGAGACATCAAAATCATGTCACGCGTGTCAGTGTAGATTTGTTACTCACTGCCTCAGCGTGTGTTTGCTGTTTGTGCGTGTGCTAGTGTGTGTGGGAAACCCTTTCCTTTGAGTAAGTTTGTATTTCTCCCATTTGAATCAAAGAGTGGCACTGGACTTTCATCCGAGGAAACATTCATCACATTTGGGTTTTTTCCCTCTTGTAGAGCAGAACAGAGTCTGTCTGCAGCTTTCAAATCTCTGTGTTGTTGTTGTAACAGACACACATTTTCCTAGAGAGCGTTTTAAGCGTCGTAGGTGCATTCTTGACTATTCAAAACATTACGCAGTAAACCTGTGCTGAACAAGACAAAATAAGCACACAAAAAAATCTGTAGGATTGTCTAGAACTGGTATACAGTAAATGTGATAAAATGTGTTCTGACTGACAAAAATTTCACCCAGTATTTACATGTATGTAAGTTTTGTGTTTTATAGAGTACCAAAACATTAGCTTAGCAACATGCTAACGTTAGAATCAAGTCTGTGTGTGTTACGTAGAAAATTAACATAAACGTTTGTGTTTATATAGGAGTGTGTGTGTGTGTGTGTGTGTGTGTGTGTGTGTGCAGTATATTATATACACACACACCTTTATGTTAGATGCGATTATTCACGATTAATCGATTTGATAGCACTAATATACACTTCCGGTCAGAACTTTGGGGTCTGGCAGAATTTGAAAAACAGTCTCTAATGCTTAACAAGGGTGCATTTATTTGATCAAAAGTAAAAACAGAAACATTGTTTTCGATATTAATGTATTTAATTTATTCCTGTGATCAAAGCTGAATTTTCAGCATCATTACTCCAGTCTTCAAGCCTGGTTAAAACCAGACCATTCTCAGTTGTAACTGAGTTATGGTCTGGCAAAGCGTCATAGACAAATCATTTCCAGAGGGGCGTCGCCAACGGACGTCGCGGATAGACCTAAAACCAATCAGAGCGATGAAGGAGATGACGTATGCAGAGCGGCGGAGAAACATCTTGTTGTTCTTTGCTCGGTTTTTAACAAAAAGGAAACGTTTAAATCGCTTAAAACAGACGCGATAGCTGATTCGAACGAGTGATGTTCGACGGCAGCATCCATCTTTGTAATGTAGGCTACAAAATCCCAGCGCTGTCGTCATCGTGTAAAGCCCGCCCCAACGTTTCTGATTGGTGCCGCGATTTTGACGGATTGGAAATGGGCTTGAGTGAGCTCTTTGCCAGACTAACTTTCAGAGCAAATATAAATTTGCCCGGAAGTTGTCTGGGTTTTCCCAGGCTACCAGTCTTCAGTGTCAAATGATCCTTCAGAAATCATTCTAATATGCTGATTTTTTAAATAGAAATCATTTGTGAAATTATAAATGTCTTAACTCTCACTTTTGATCAATTTAATGCATCCTTGTTAAATAAAAGTATTAATTTCTTTCTTTCAAAAAAAATCTTACTAACCCCAAACATTTGAACAGTAGCATAGTTAAGATTCAGAATCAAGATGATAACTATTGGAATCATAATTCTTTACTATGAACCTTCAAATTTATAAGCCTAATCTTGTCCTTATCCTTCATAACCCTGAGAAGATTACTTCAGGATTTATTTTCTGATTTTGAGGTGAACATGCCGTATCTGCTGAAGAACCGCTACGCTTCATGCAGAGAAAAATAGATAACACATGCAGAGGCAAAAAAAAGTAAAGAAGTAATCCTCTTGTCCGTGTCATATTTAGAGGTCAAGGCTTATTTTCTCTTGCGCTGGGCCTCATTAATGATTCAGACAGTGGCAGAGCCAGAACATGTTGAGCCCCAGACAGGATTTTGAAATACCGCCCCTGCATCTAATTTCCTCAAACAGCTTCGGAAATGAACTCAGATGACGGTGTTTCTCAATGCGGACTACGCCGGAGACCCAAAAAAAGGTTCAAACGGGGACATGCACACACTGTTTGCCCTTTTTTTCCCTCAGCAGGAAGCTGAAATGATGTAAGTATCAATACTTAACAACTCAAAACTATAAGTAAGCAAGGTTTTCCTCCCAGAAATCACTCCTCTGTTCATTCACACTTAAAACTAAAGGTTACAAAAAGGGGGTTTCACAGCAAGGACATAGAAGGACCATTTTGGTTTGAACAAACAACTGTACACTGAAAAGATTACAAAATATATTCTTAGTGTGAAGAACTTACTAAAAACCTAAAGAACATTTTGTCCAGTGGAAAGGACGGATGTTAAAGATTCTTAATGGAACCATAGATGCCAATAAAACTTTTAAGAGAATTGTGAAGTGCCCATATATTAGGCTTTTTCGAATATTACCTTTCATGACGTGTGTAATATAGCTGTTTGTGAATGTAAAAGGTCTGAAAAGTTTTAAAGATCAAAGACAAATAAAGTTATTGTCTGCCTGCGAACAATGTCTACTTTGACCCGCCCTTAAACACTAGTTGTAGTTGAGGCCTGGAAGAGTTTGGTCCGTGATGTGGACATGTCGAGAAGATGCTGTTTTCAGATCCACTTTGCATGCACTTCAAAAGGATGAAGACTCGTGCTGGAATTGATTCGGAAAAACCGACACCATTGTTCGTATCACTGAGTATCAAGTGCTGAGGAAGACTGTGGAGCTTAAATTCAGATATGGTAATGGCCGTTTCATTTCCGTGTTTGTAAGTGGTAGACCAAATCACAACAGACTGGGCCAATATGACCAATCAGAGCAGAGTATATCTATCACAACAGACTGGGCCAATATGACCAATCAGAGCAGAGTATATCTATCACAACAGACTGGGCCAATATGACCAATCAGAGCAGAGTATATCTATCACAACAGACTGGACCATCTGACCAATCAGAGCAGAGTAGACTAATTACAACAGACTGGACCATCTGACCAATCAGAGCAGAGTAGATCAATCACAACAGACTGGACCATCTGACCAATCAGAGCAGAGTAGAACA